TGCTGCAGTTAGAAAACCTGGGTGTGATCTCAACTTGTTCTTCAACCTCTATGTTGTCCCATGCGAGAAATGGGGCCAGCACTACTTACTTCTGAAATATTTGATGCCTGGTAGCACTGAACTGTTTGGAGGAGCTGTACAAGTAATCCAGTTTCAATGCAGCTTTGCAGTTGTGCCCACCCCCAATTAGTATATTCTAACCTAACACAAACAAAAAACTTCCAGGAGGAATTTCCCCACCTCTAATTAGCACTGACATAACAGTACAGAAAGGAACGACTACCAGTGTGCAAGTGCTTGCGTTTTAATTAGCTATGTTATCCCTGGGAGATTATTCCGATTGAGCTCTGCTGGCTTCTGCAGCTGAGAAGCAATTATGTGTGCTAGCAATTTTTCCTAGTTTGGGAAAAACTCAGCACTTACTCCCTTGTTTGCATCATTTTTTATTTTTTTTTACTCCATGCAGTCTCATGCTCTAACATGAAATTGCTAAGGAGTGTCTCCTTCAGCTCGGACTCTGCCTAGCTTGTCAAAGCAGCAGCCTCTTGAGATGCTGTAAATTGTCCGGCTCTTGCTTGTGTGGCACTATGCCATCAGAGTCATTACAGCCTACCCTGACAGGGCAAAGCTATCCTAGATTAAATATGTAAAACAGCTGAAAGCCATTAACATGGCATTTCTAATTGTGTGTGCATTTGGGGGGTAATCATCTGAACCCGAAAGCCTTGACCATTTTCAATTTTAACTCAGCACTGGAGTCCTTAGGAAGCCGCATCAGTGCTTAATTTCCTCTCTTTTAGTAGTTGGTTCTTTGTGGGGGAGAGAGTATTAAGAACTGGTACACAGTAAACTGTACATATTGTACTGGGCTTGAAGTAGGTTTCCCTTCCTTGGCTCTACTAAGGCTATTAATCCAGTCTGCTCCAGGGCAGACCTGGAAAAAAGCAGCAGTACATACTACTTGCTGTTTGGAGATGGCAGGCCCTTCATTAGATGACTAGTTTGACACTAGTAGTTTGTCCCATGTAAGTGAGGCTCCCACCCTACAACTAAGATTATACAGCCAGCTGCATAATATAAGCCTTTCAGGACCCCGGACATTAACTGTGCCTGCTTAAATATTTCACATTGTTTAGGCTTTTCTTCTTCTTACATTATTGGAATATAAAGCACCCTGTGTCCTTTAACTAGGGCTTTGGATGTAAGAGGATGAGTTCTGTTCTGTAATAGAGCTAGTAGTATAAGGCACTAGCTGCAGACTGACATATCAATCAAGCGAGATGGCAGAAACGATGGTGTTTTCTAGTCTACTCAATGGCTTTGTGCCTGGCTGCTGGAATAGCTTTGGGAAGGTACTGCAGTGCACAGGTCTGTTTCATTGCTTGAGATACCCGTGACAAAATGTCCCTGAGGGAAGTGGTGGGGATGTGGAGTTAATTTGAATATGTTTTCACTGTTTTTGTTAGTGCATTGAGGATGAGCTGTCAGAACTGTTTCAGATCCTGGCAGTTTTCTGACCAAACCCAGAGGAGAGGTGGAATGCTCTGTCTTTGCTGGAGTGACTCCTCTCAATAATGCCACACTCCTGACCCCTTCACAGTGCATCTGCAGCACTCAGTTTGGAACTTGTGGGTGGGATTGTGACTCCTTACTCATTGTCCCATTCAGTGCTTAAGATGCTGCTGGCAACAAATGGCTCCAGATGAACTAATGCAGCTTTAGTGGGGATTTACCATTTGAGGATCAAAGCACAGCAGAGTGGTTCCATATACTGTAGGGCAGGGACGGGCAATTATTTTGGGCAGAGGGCCGCTTACCGAGCTTACCCCTGGGCTGCATTTTGCCCACCCCTGCTGTAGGGGGTAGTTTTCTGCCCTATTCCCTATGGCTAGCCAGAGCAAACCCAGAGACTTTTGGGAAGGGTTGCCTATAGCCAGCTGAGTAGTGCTGATGGCTTGCATTCACATCTGGTGAATTTTGTCATATGCTAGATGCTGTTCCATTCCTTTTTCTTTCCC